ATCTCTACGCCGCATTCATTCAACATCATCGGAATAGATATCCGCAAATTTCATTAAGTAGAATCCATGAGCATTTTTTGAAGGAGAGACACGCAATGGGAAGACAGGTTTTTATCGAAAAAAATTTTTGAAAATTTTATTAAAGGCCATTGTTGACGTCGTCAAAAACGAGCTGTACAATGCACTAGGGCATACAAATAGCAAATATTGGGGGCAAATAGATATGCAATCTGCAATAGACGTTTGCTGCTACAGGAATTATATACCAACAAAGAAGAAAAGAGGTCGTTAATCTTGTTCATCTTTAAAAGTAATTCATATTTTTAGAAAATTCTCCTGTCATAATAATGAACGACATAACTAAACGTTTGGAATCTCAACTTAATATTGAGACACCAGAAGGTCAGGATTTAGCAAGTGAAGGCGAGGGCACATCGGCAAGTACAATCCAAGACAATGTGTCAATATTTATGCCTGATACTGTGAATTATTTATCTACTACGGACAAGATACCAGAAGAAGATGAATGGTAAAAGATATTCAAGCAATCGATAGTTTTTAACCAAATGTTGTTTTTCTAATAAAAAATAAAAAAATATTATCGTTTAAAATAATTTTTGCGTTATTTTCGCAATAATATTTAAAAAAATAATTTTAAAAATATTTAGAATTTTAGATGAATCAAAGAAATTTTGGAAATTATTCCATAAATCACTTTTATAAAGAAGACGTATCCGAAAACATCAACAGTACAAAATTTAAAATAGGAGTATTCAGGTCTATTAAAAATCTTTCCTTATTTAATTTAAAATTCTAGAACTGTTTTCACGGTGAGGAATGTTGATGATGCTCCAGAGGGCAGCGATAAACTTCTTGAAGATTTGGTAGATCATTTCATAGCAAGGGCCGACAAGGCGGCAGGTTCAAAGGCTGAGAAATGTTCTATTATAATAAGAAGTTCTGTTCTCGAAAAACCCATTCAAATACCATATAGAGGACTTGCTCAAAATACTCCTCAAGTCGTTATGGAGCAATTTGATGCCGTTGACCAGAGCGGAAAACGAATGGGGAGGCCTTCCCTATATAGCCAGCCTATACATATTGAGGTGAATATTATTCATTTATAAATATATTTTTTAATTTAGATTGTTATGGGGCCTTCTCATGATGAGGCACTTGAATTAATAAAAAAAGGCGAGGGAGGAATGGGCAGGAGATCGAGAGAAATTCAACAGGGAGTAGATCTAAACAATCTGATACCTGTAAACTTGAATTAAAATTTGAATTAAAATTATGAATTAAAATTTGAAAATTTAGGTCCATAACGAAAATCTTAACCCTCCAGCGAATATTCATTGTTTACTTCTTGCTGTTCAACTGAAAATACTATATGTCAACTTAGAAAAGACTAATGTAGAGAAGAAAAAATTCCACAGGCTTATAAATGGACAAAATAAGAGAGCAAAAATTGAGCGAACCCTTTTAATTAAAGAAATGCTACAGCAAATGCCAAGATATGGAATTCGCTATCCTACTTACGCGCCTCAGTACACTGTTGAAGAACATGTTCCACTGATACAACGTTTTCTGGATTTGCGTTTTCCTGGAAAGTACCGAATTTCAGTATTCGGCGAACAAGGAAGAATCAGGCCAATATGGAAGGGAGCTGAAAGGGCCGAACACGAGATTGCTCTATATTTAAAAGGAGAACATTATTATGGGATTAGAAACCTGAATGCGCTCTTTGGTTCATATTATTGTATTGATTGTGAGGCGCCATACACACAAAAATATGCACATCGGAATAAATGTATTGCTAAATGCCCTCGATGTTGTGGAATTGGATACGGATTCCCATGCAAAGTAATTGAAGGATATTCTAAAAAATGCTTACAATGTGCAAACACCTTTAAAAATCCTGATTGTTTTAAAAGACATACAGAAAAGGGCATATGCAAGATTTATAAAAGGTATTTTTCAAATTAGAAAATTAATAACATAAATTTTAGATGCGAGAAATGCGGACATATTTACCGCTCTAAGAAAGATTCAGCTGTCACACAAAAATCAGACAGCGAGTCTACAGATGATAGTGAACTTACCGCAGATACTAACAACAATGGACATATTTGCTTCATACATTATTGTAACCTCTGTCGTTCTTTTCACAAACGCGAAGAACGTTGTTATGTGCAACCACTCATACCAAAAAAGGAGCATGAATATCTATTGGTATTTAATTTTTCTTTTTTAATTTTGCTCAATTTAGATTGTCTTTGACTTCGAATGTGAACTTATATCACCGACAAGAAATAAACAAGAGTGGCAACATTTGCAAAACAATGCTTTAATGCCTCTTAATGCAATTCCAGACGATGAAAACTATCAAGTACATCATGTGAATTGTGTATCGGTATCCATTATTATGTCTACACATTTGAAATTTTTAGGCATTATTGATGTGTTCACGATGTATTAGAAATGATAATTGGAAAAATGAAAAAACGGGTCGTTGTAAAACTTGCGGTATGGACATGCCTAGAATGAGAACTTGGACTGCAGCGGATTTTTTAAATCCTTTGCGTGAATTTTTGGAATGGTTGATTAATGGATTGGGGAATGAGCGATCATGGAAAACATATGCTATTTCTCATTATGGGGGGTTTCTTTTGTTGTATACTCTTTTCTCATTATTAATTTAAGCCGATATGATATGCATCTACTATTGGGCGAATTGATTAAACATTTTGGAATTGAGCCAAAAATTACAAGGACTGGAAACAAGCTTTATGAAGTTCTAATTAAAAAGCAAAGAAGGCGATTTCCTTATATATCATTTCGCGATTCATTCAATTGGACAATGCTTAAATTGGAACAACTACCAAAAGCACTTGCACTTGAAATAGATGAAGGGGGAAAATCCTTCTTTCCTCACGGATGGAATTTCAATAAGAATATGAATGTTCGGCTTAATGGATTGCCTGATCAACAATTTTATTATCCAGATTCTATGGGAAAAGATAGAAGAAAAAAATTCGAAGAATGGTATACAAACAATAAAAATGAACCATTTTGTCTTCGTGAACAAATTGTCGAATATTGTCAACAAGATGTACGTATTCTAGCGCATGCTCTCGTCAAACTTCAACGCCTTTTCTTTGAACTAGCTACGGAGCCGTCCAAGCGAGATGACGTACTTGTTAACTCTATGACAATTGCCAGCGCATGTATTCGTCATTTTTGTAAGATTTAAAACTTATATTTTAAGAAAAAATTTTAAGGTATAAACTATTTGAAAGAAAATCAAATGGGTATAATTCCCGATAATGGTTATCATCGGGATTCGAATCAATCTGCAATCGCTTTAAAATTTCTTCGTTGGCTCTCACACAAGACAGGTCTTCAAGTTCAACATCAAGAAAGCCCAGAAGGAGAAAAAAGAGTTAAGGTTTCTGATGGAAGTATTTTGCGTCTTGATGGGTATATTAAAAACATTGGAGGAGTAGACCAAGCAATTGAATTTCTTGGATGTGCATGGCACGGACATGAATGGTAACTTTAATACTTCTTCAAATAATTCGTTTTAAAGTTTATACCTCCCACATGAAGTTTGTTTAAACGGGAAGACGGCACTATATAACAAAGACAAACTTTATGAACGTGTTAGCTTATTGAAAGAAGAGGGAATTTGGACTACTGCCGTATGGGAATGTGAAGTTATGAAAGAACTTGAAGAGGATCCAGAAATGTCTCTGTTTTTTGATACATTGCCAGATATTGGCCCTCTGTATCCTAGAGATGCTTTTCATGTTTGATTTAGCTTAATTATAGTATATAATTTTAAATTAAGGGTGGAAGAACGGGCCCTTTAGCTCTAAAATGTGATTTAGAAGGATCAGACGAATTTGAGATTTCTTGTTTTGATGTTGTAAGTCTGTATCCTGCAGTGAATTTTTATGCATTTTATCCGCTAGGTGAATTTAAACTATATTTAAATAAATTTGATATTTATTAGGACATCCAAATATTTTGGAATTAAATAAAGATGTAAATTGGACAAAGCCTGAAGATTTACATCCATATCGTGGTCTGTTCAAGCTTTTCATCATTCCCCCCGATGATTTATATCTTCCAGTAATTCCAGAACGAATTCACGGAAAACTGGTAAATATTTTCTAAAATTTTATATCATTAATAAACAGATATTTCATCTTTGTCATCGTTGTGCAGTGGAAATATCTCCAGGCGTGGCAATAAGGGCAAACAGTAAATATAACAAAGAAATTGGTCACAAATGGTGTCCGCACACAGATGAGCAACGAGGATTCGTTAGTACTACTTGCTCGGTAGAACTTGAACTTGCTTTGAAGCAGGGATATCGCGTGACTAAGGTTTACAGCATATATCATTGGGAAAATTGGTCAGACACCTTGTTGAGGCCATATGTTCAGGATATGATGCGTCTAAAAATTGAGGTAAAAATTATTTTATGGCTTAATAAAAACAATACAGGCGAGTGGATGGCCGAATAGTGTGTTTGTCCCTGGAAATTCTGAATTAGAGGATCAGAGAAAAAGAGAATTTATTGAAAAAAACCAGAGTGTATATGGAATACATTTAGATCCATCACGGATTGAAAGAAACGAAGGAATGCGCTACCTTGCAAAGACATGCAACAACTCAATGTGAGAATACTTTTTAACTTGTGTCATTTTTTAATTTAGGTGGGGGCGATGGGCGCTTCGCTGTAACTTGTCACAGGTTATTTCTCTTTAAATTTACAACAAATTTTTTAGGATTGTATAACTAGTTCCCCTGTGGAGCTCCACACGGTTCTTAATGATCCAAAACTTGAACTTGGAGCCGTAGAAATGCTTGCTCCAAATCTTTTTTCCGTTCCATATCGGCATCGAAGAGAATTTGTACGCCCACACGACAAATACAATATTGCAATTGCACTAATTACAACAGCAAAAGCCAGAATAATGCTCTACGACTATATGGAAAAAATAGTTAAAGAAAAGGATTGCAAGTTGCTTTATACGGACACGGATAGCTGTTTTTACGTGCATCGGCGAGGACAAACGCCTCCTTTTCGTGTTGGTGAAATGCTTGGTATGATGGATCGCGAATATGGAGATTGGAACATTATTGCATTCTATACTGGAGGGTGCAAGCAGGTATACAAACATTTTTAATCAAACGCAAATTTTCCAGTATGCCATGAAAATGAAGCACAAAAATAGTGGAGAGATTAAATATATTGTAAAATGCCGAGGGTGCTGGGACAAAGTTGATTCTCCTCTTGACTTTGAACAATTCAAGGTTATTTTTCAAACGTTTCTAAATTTAAAGAATAGGTAATTTAGAAAATGGTTGAAGCTTATGGGGAGGAACAAGAACCTGTCATTTTGGAAAGAACACATTTTCAGCCGAGCTGGCGTAGAGGGGAAGTTACAAGCAGATCACAAAAAAGGTATCATATATATATAATTATTATCAATTTAAAAATCTAGACGATATTCGCCAATCTACGACAAGGGAATAGTTGATGCCAATTTTGATTGTTATCCTTACGGATACAGAGGTGAACCGCTTATTGATCCAACCGAATAAAATATTTTGAATAAATTTTAAAAAATGTTTTAAATTATTGTTTATTACAAAAAATATCTTAACATTTTGCAATTAAAATCTACTTAAAGATTTGCTTACCTAATTACAGATTTGATTTTTATTAATTATTCAAATGGCTGACAATTTAGGTAAATTAATTTTCCCATTTAGATAATAATTAAACGTTAAGAACTCACTACAATGATGGTAGAGAAATTATCAATAAATTCCAACAGCATAAAGACTACACCACTTATCAACCTTCTATGTGACTTCAATGGAGGATGCGTACCAGAAATGCTTAATTGTGAAATACGAAATAATTACAACGACAATTTGCAATTTATAAAATCACTAACAAGTATGTCTCTTGAAGACGTTAAGAAAGCCGGTGTTGGACAAAAGGAATTTAATGAAAACAGTATACTTCCTGGAAATCGATGTCTAATAACAAATCATCTTAAAAATCGTTTTATTGAAGTGTATCCTAAACATTTTACGGAAATGGGATCTGATCGAATGTTTGCTCTTCGAGGATATTTATCAATAACAATTCGGTATTTTATTTATTCGATTATTTTATATTTTAAGTCAATTTTATTATGTTCGACACCGTGTCAATCTTGTTTATCCTCATCTTCCACTTGTATGCGTTTCGGGTGGTGGAAAGCATGAATACTATTACCCAATCGAGTGCTTGGACTTTGTCGAAATCGATAAACAAACTGGAAATTAATTTTAATGTTTATTATCCAATAATAAAATTGTTCAATCAGTGACTTTAGATAAATCTGTTTTATACATTTATCTCTATCGATTATTAATACATGTTTTCAGTTTTTAGAATCACTATGATCAGTGACGTAAATCTTGGTAAACATTTAAATCGAAAATTTATAAAAATAATTTAAGAAACAACTTCACTTATGCTTGAACGCCTTAACTTGAAGCATGAACAAAATTCTTTGCCTCCTGAAGAAATTATTGGGGCACAAAAACAAAATATATTTATTTTCAATTCTCCCAGATGTGGATTCGACAACCGATTTATAACAACATTTACTTTGCTTGGGCGTTCATTCTCTTCCATTGAACAGTATTTCATCTGGCAAAAGGCTAGATTTTTTATGGATTTGGAACTTGCTGCTGAGGTGCTTATGCTTAATAATCCATTGGCTATAAGACGAATTGGAACGCGTGTGAAAAATTATAATAGAAATGAATGGGATTCAGTCAAAGATAAGGCAAGGATTAATTTTATGCAAGGCATTAAATAAAAATTCTAGGTAATGTACACAGGGTTGTGGGCCAAATTTACTCAGAATGTACAACTCTTCAATCAGTTACGTGCAACTGGAGACGGACTCATTACACATGCATCAGCATCAAATCTTTATTGGAGTAATGGATTAAGCCATAAAAGCCCGATTCTGAATGATCCAGGTATTTGGGAGGGAGAGAACAAACTTGGTGAATTATTGATGGAATTACGAACCGAAATTAACAAAAGTATTTTTTAATTTATTTTTTCAAAAACATTGAAATTGAATTGTAAACTTTATTTTGTGTTGAATAAATTTCTTCTTCTGATTGTGCACCGGTAATAATGCATTTTCCAGTTGTGAAGATAATTATAACTGTGTGAGATTCCTTCAGTCTTAGACACATCCCAGGAAAAAATTCAGGATTATACGATATGTGCCTAGCCAGCCATGAGGGTGGAGCGAACCGCATCGAATCATACAAGGCTAAACATTATTTTTTAATCAATACTTAATATACCTGGTAAATTTATGAATCCTCCAAATGTAAAAGAAGAAACTATATTCTGAATTCTAAAATTGTGAATATTTATGAATAATTTGGCTGCTGCGGAAATTATTTTAACAAAACATATGAGAGCGGTTTCCGAGTCCTTTGCAGACTTTGTTCCGACGCAAACTATTCTTCCATTAGCAAAAAGTAGCGCTGTAGCAGTTAATGGTTCTTTTATTTTAAATGTTAGAGCAGAAAACCGCTCAGGACGATATTTAGCATTAGGAATATTTTCTGCAAGTTTATTAAGATCTAATTTGTTGTCACCTTCAAGTAGAGTAGCTGTAGATACCACGTTTTGAATAATTGCTTTTTGATACATTTTAAGGCCCTATATAAATAATTTATAGAATTTATATTTAAATAAAAATGTTCATAGCTCCTTTTACTATGATAATTTCGGGTGCCACAGGGAGTGGCAAAACCCAATGGTTATTAAAATTCCTGGCACACACTGACCAACTCATAGATCCTCCGCCTTCAAAAATATTATACTGTTTTGGAGAAATGAATGAAACTGTTTTTAAGCTCAAGGAAATGGGAATCACTACTTATAATGGGGTTCCTGAATCCGAACTAATTAAGAAGCATCAGCTTTTAGTTTTAGATGACTTAATGCTTAATATTCCAAATGATTTTTTAGATTTACTTTTTACTCGCGGTTCACACAATTGGAACGTAAGTATTATATTTGTCACACAATCCCTATATGGACGCGATATAAAGACTGCAAGAGCAAATGCTCATTATATTCTTTTAACAAAAAACCCTCAAGGTCTTTTGCAAGTGCGCACGCTAGGGTCGCAGCTTTTCCCAAAAATGCTTAATTATTTTCTTGAAGCCTATCGAGATGCAACATCGGAACGTTTTTCTTATCTATTAATAAACATGCACCCTAGTACAGATGAAAAAATGCGATTATCTACAAAAATTTTTCCTGGAGAAAAAACTACTATATATTTGCCGCTATAATATATAAGTGCTCAAAAATATTAAATCTAAAATGCCCACGTATAACTATAGCCCATACGTTAAGGATAATTTTGAGTTTCTTCAACAATTATCAAAAACTTCTTCAGATAAAAAGAAAAACGCGCTCATCCTTTCAGCACGCGCAGACCAAATTTTAGCGATTGTTGAAATTTGTGCTAATATTCTAAAAAATAATTTTACTTTAAATAGGAGACAACGTAAAAAATTATCACAGTTTGCTGACTTTTATAGAGCAATCGCTCGAACGCGTACTGAAAATAGTGCCAGAAATCGCATACAACAAGGAGGTAGTGCCGCTTTAGCTGCAATACTTGTACCCGTCTTGGGAGCTTTAGCGGAACACATTATTCATAAATTCTCTCAAGAATGAAACATACAAAGAAAATGATTATGGTGCCTGAGAGCGAATATCTTACGCTTTTAGGAATGATTAAAGGTGGGGACTTTCTACAAAAAGAGAAGACACAAACGGATGTAGATATTATGAAAACCCTCGATAACCCAAAAATTTCGGAAGATTTAAAAGCAAAGAAATATAATTGGTTATTTAAGAAGAGGCGACAGCTCAAAAATGAGTTGGAAAATCGCCCACAAAAAGTTACAATCGATGAAGGGAAACCTTCTCCAGAAGTTGCACCATACTTGCAGGAAAATATTGCTAATACACCAAAACCAAAGTTAGTTCCCAGCAAAATTCAACCGAATTCTAACACCGAATATCAGTCTGAATCTGAAGTTACTCCTAAGTTGCCGCGAGCAAAAAGAAAAAGTGCAATTCCTTTTTCCAAATTCAAAGGTATTATTGCGACACGCTATTCCACAGAATTGGATAATTATGTAAAAGATAACGCAGAAAAATTCAAAATAAGTAAGAACGGGAGTTTTGAGTCTAATGTCCCTGGAAGACTTGTAAAGAATAGCAATTTCACAGATGTTCTCGAATATGTAAAGGTTGAGACATCATCGCCCCCAAAAGGTTTCAGTTTTCTATTTAACCGTCTTTCTAAGGACCCGTTAGTGAAAGAGATGATTAAAGAGACGCGTGGAGAAAGTACTTCAGAGGAAAGTTCAACTGATAATCAAACAGGTACTGGGAAAAGAAGAAAACGAGTTCTAGTAAAAGTCTTGCCTATAAATTCACCAGGATTTGTTCGGCGAAAAAATAAATTTATTCCAAAAATATGGGAAAAGCTTTAGATACTTTCTTAGAAAAAATATATTATTCACTTAATTCACCCGCCTCCTATGCAGGAATAAATCGCGTCTATGAAGAAGCGCGTCGTAAATACCCGAAAATAAAATTTGAATATGTTTATGATTTTCTTCATAGGCAGAGGGTCTATACAATGCATAGGCCTCTAAGAAAAAAGTTTCCTAGACTAGCCACTAGACCAGGCGGTTTGCACACAGATTGGCAAGCGGATTTGGCAATTTTTGATCAGTTAGCTAAATATAACGAAGGGTACAAATATCTTTTGGTTTGTATTGATGTACTAAGTAGAAAAATTTTTGCGGTGCCTGCCAAATCTAAGAGTTCTGAAGATATGATTGATGCGTTCGAAAATATTTTTAAACTTTCAAAAGGAATACTTCCTCATAAATTATATACGGATCGTGGGTTAGAATTTGAAGCGAAACGAATGAAAGAATATTTTAAAAAGAAGGATATAAATAAACGAGTAGTTTATAGTCCAGATGTGCATGCTTCAATGGCAGAAAGGGCTAACCGTACTATCAAAGAGCGATTGTACAGATATTTTAGCGAAAAGAACAC